TTGAGGAGTCTTCGTCTTAGCTTATCAACAACGAAATTAACTGATTTATCAGGTGGCTGAGTGGGTTAGATTGCTGACTTCGTGTACTGGCGGGAAGATGCCTGACTCTAAGAATTAAGATTCGAATCACGGATTCTCAACCCTAGTCTGTCATACAGACCCTGAAGCAAATATATCCAAGAAATACCATGCAAGTCTAGAAAATGTGGCAAGTCTAGATTTCCACAGTTTCAGGAAGAAAGTTTCAGGGCTCCTTTTTATTATATTTTTTTTCTTACTATGAGCCTTTTTCTGTAAATATGTTCCTTTCAGAGACTGGTTGTTGGTCTATCTCACCCCTAACGATACTAGAATCGGTACTTTGATGAGAAAGTGTAATCCCACTGTCTAAATGACATTGTGTATCCATGAATAAAGTAGCAAACATTTATGAGATAAAATCTACATACATAACAAAAGTGCGCCATTATCTCGCCACAAAAGAAGAGTTACGGGTCACCAATTCTCTCACAAAACAGTCAAACGTACCGTGACAGTCGCTGAATGGTGACGGAAACAGAACAATTAAGATCGAGGGGGAACGGTGTGGTGACGTGGTGACCCTTACAGCGCCAATAGGTTGTGTCATTTGGGCTGTTCTTCTTTGTGTACACCATGCATCATTAACTTAGTATACGACTCAGTGGTATGAATTTCACATGAACCATGGTTTCTGCTGTCTCAAATTCAGTTCAGTTTTCGTGTTTTAAGTCAACTTCTAACCAACTTCATTGACGGGACCGGGGGGTTAATGCAATTAATTTTATATTAACAGTACAGATTAAGATATAATAGGTAAAGAACCCCAACCCCCTACCCCCTTAAAAAGAATACGGTAAATAAAATATAAAAAAAGAATAATCATAATAAAATAAAGAAATAAAAACAATGAAATAAAACAAATTAATATAAAAAATACGCATAGATAATAAATAGAAAAATAGAAAATATATATATAAGGATTAACTACAGGGCTGTAGTCCAGTTGTGAAAAAATGTTGTACTATTTACTAATTTTAGGAAATTAAATATAAACATATCTAAGCCATTTTATTGGGGATGTATCAGTTGATATTTTACGATAAGAAACAAACAAAGAAACAGGAATAACATTAATGCTATCTCACAACTTCAGGACCATGCTTTATACACATCATTTGTGTTTACTGCAAATTTACATTGAAGGATTTTGCTTTATCATCGAAAACTGTGTGACACCACAGATATTGCTTGTGTCAGATCAAACGATATCTCCTAGGAGATATGTTTTTTTTATTACCCACGTGGTCAACGTATGGGTAGGTGCATACTAATCTCGTACGTCACACGAGTGTCGTATCGCGTTGACCTGTGTCGTAACGACTTGACCTGAGATTATAACGATTTGATTGGATAACCGATGACCTCTCAATTAGGTCACATTCTGACGTAACTATTCTTTCATTCATAACAAACACGTGAATTCATTCATTCTACAACTTAAATGCATTGTGGGAATGTAAACATTGCGAATGTTGCCGTGTCGCTGTTTAATTCTGAGTCGAACTGAGACATTATATCCGTCGAAAAACATAAACGCAATGTTTCCACCAGTGATGTTAGCCGAATGAAGCAACTGCAAACCAAGAAACGGGGTGCTACGGAGTACAGCGGGTGGCCACAATATTACGTACATTATCCATATTTTTTAGTAAGTTTAGAAATTAATCTTACTTTGAAACAATCGCGTTTGAAAACTAACTCTCTAAACGTAACCAATCTTAGCGAAATAGTAGAACCGAACACGCCCTATCGTCACGTGACATTCACGCGACTGAAAAAAGTCGTCTGCTCGCTTCCGTCTGCTATTTTCGTCGACATGGGGAAATCTCAAGACTTGCCTTCGGCCATTAAAACTATTATTGTAGAACGATATCAGGATGGCCAAAATTGTTCAGCTATTGCAAGACATTTCGGCTTGCCCAGAAGTACTGTTTATTCTTGTGTAAACCGTTTTCAACGAAGAGGCTCGATTGAGAATCGCCATCGAACAGGTCGTGCTGCCAAGGTGTCACGGAAAGGTAGGAGACAGTAGTTTCGGATCGTGAAAGACAATCGCATCGCACCTTTACATGAAATTACCAACATTTTTAATAGGGGTAGAAATTCCCCTGTCTCACGGAGGACAATTAGACGGGTTTTACATGAGAATAAATTTCACAGGCCTATCGTTAGAAAGAAAATAAGAATTCGAGAGAACAACATCAGAAAACGTCTCGCATGGGCAAGAGGGCAAAGGTACAAAACTGTGGATAATTACTGGAATAGAGTAATATTCAGTGATGAATGCAAGGTTATTCTTGGAGAAAATAATCGTGTCTATATTTGGAGACAGCCCGGCGAAGAGTACCTACCCGAATGCCTGTGTCCAGGTCGGCAGCTTCGAGTGGGTTTGATGATATGGGCTTGCTTTACTTGGCATGGTGTCGGAACTTTGACTGTTGTTAACGGCAATATAAATGCCCAGAAATATATAGACATAACTGATTCTCACCTCTGGCCTGTTGTAGCACGTCATTTTCCTGGAAATAATTATATCTTCCAAGACGACAATGCCCCTGTGCATCGGGCCCGAATTGTACAGAACTATAGACAAAACAATGGCATAAATGGCATGGTATGGCCTGCACAATCACCGGATGCAAATATAAGTGAAAATTGTTGGTTGATGTTGAAAAACAAGTTGGCCGCACGCCGACAACATATTCAGTCGGCAGCTGATCTCGAGAGAGAAATCAGGGATATCTGGCAAAACACGCCGGTTAACTACATACAGAACTTGTACAGATCAATTCCACGGAGAATAGTGAAAATTCTGAGGAACAAGGGTCATATGACCAAGTATTGAGGTAAGTCACCCTTTATTTCATGCTCTATCACCATTTGAATAAACCGCGCTGACAGGAGGCGTCGCACTCGGCCGCCATCAATGTACGTAATATTGTGGCCACCCGCTGTAGTTTACTGTAGGTGGCTGTACGAGGCGATGACAACTGACATGCATCGTGACGTCGGTTACCAAGGCACCGACGTCATTACTGTGTGACGTCATGCAAATATTGTACTACAGGACAAAACTCTTCCGCAACCTCTTTACGAAACCGGTTTCGGTTTGAAACCATAAAAATATCAAAAATACGCTATTTTGTCAATTTAATGCATGTAAGACGTGGGTAATAAATAAAATACCACACTCGGTCTCATTACATACGAATTATACGAAACGAGTGTCCTTTCTATGCTATATGACCGAGCGAAAGCGAGGTCAGATACCATAGGACGGTCACGAGTTTCGTATAATTCGTATGTAATGAGACCTCGTGTAGTATTCTCTATGAAAGTAGATTTTGTACAATGTCCTGACATCATCAATTACATGACTCACAATGCTATGACGTCAAAAACGTGATGACGTCACAATGCTATGGCATCACTGCACTGCAAGTCTAATGACAGTACCGTGTTCAGAGATGTACATTTCTCATTGAAAACTAATGAAGAGTGATTTTGGATGATAAATAGAATCTCACCCGCGTGTCTTCTGATATCAAATATGTCCCCACTCGTTGATAAAAGTAACATGTGTTACTTTGTCAACTCGTGTTGATATAATTGATATCAGTAGACACTTGGGTGAGATTCTCAATTTAACATTCAAGAAACGTTAAGTATTCCGTTTAGTTAAGTGGTAAGCATAGTTTACTGCAATTAAACAAGTTTTGTTCTGATATATTCAGCATTCTCAGTTCTTTGTAAACAGGGGCAGCGGGGTAGCCTAATGGCTAAAGTGTCCGCTCGTCACGCTGAAGACCCGGGCTTGATTCCCCACATGGGTACAATGCGTGAAGCCCATTTCTGGTGTCCCCCACCGCGATATTGCTGGAATATCGCTAAAAGCGGCGTAAAACCATACTCACTCACTCTTGGTGATAATACTTCAGAAACTGACTGTAGCCAATCAGCCCTAATCCCTTAATCCTATGTTCAGTTATCAGCTGGCTACTCATGCTGTCGATCTTTGGGGTCCAAGTAGTCGGTCATACAAGGGATAATCTACGTTATATAGTCTCCCTGGTCATACAGACTCGGAAACAAATATACATGTAGGATACCAAATGCAGTCCATGAAAGCCCAGAATATGTAGCAAGTCTAGATTTCCACAGCTTCAGTTTTCTGAAAATGAAGAAAGTCGTTGAGCTCCATTTGTTATCTTTTATGAAGGTAATTCAGCAACTGTTTTTCATGTAAAATATGTATATAATTTTGACAGAAACAAATAATTACTTATAAATTGAAAAGGAGCCCCAGTGAGATGGGAGATTAGGAACCTGAACGTGAGGAATCTAGACTTGCTCCATTTAGAACTTTAGCATTGCAGAAAGGCCTGGACGGAAGGGAATTAATGCGGTTCAGGGACTGTGACACGGACTACTTAAGTTTGAATATGCGAGTTAACTGCGAGCAATGTTCATCAAATAATTCAATCTTAGGGAGGGTATGCAAGCTTATGGGACATAAAAACAATATTCGCGTTTTCTGTTGCCTTTAATTTGCAAAGTATATTAAAACCTAAAAAAATATGTGTTTTTATGTAACAGTTTAATTCATTCGGGTCGGAAGACTACCCTTGCAAATACACCATAGTCCCGAGACTTTATGAGATTGTTTAAACGCCTTCAGATATGGGTGTAGTCCATATACGGAAAATGACATCAGCTGTTTCGGCAACAATTTCCGCGCCGGTTATATTCCCGACTCTAATTTTAGTCGAGGATTAAACTGTTGATTTATCTAATTTTAGACTAAATGTACACCTATTAGAGGCACGACAGACACCATTTCCCCGTCCTTTATGTGGTAAACCAGTGTGTCACGTGATTTGTGTTTACGTTTTTCCTGCACGTGATTTACGGCGGAAGTATCTTCTTTGTGATTTCCTCTGATTGATGTTCGGCGTTACCGCTGTCACACATGTAAGTGGTATATTCTAAGACACGGCGTTATTGTTCCGCGTTGTGGTGTGAATGTACAGAGGAGAGGGATACCTGTTGATCGTTGCCATCCGCACGCGCCCGCTGTTTCAAGTGTGTACCTATCACCTGTCACCCACGAGTTTCATCTGGGACAAGCTGATTGACAAAGGGATGTCGATTCGGCCAGCTAGTGAGTACGACTAGAGCAAATGTACCTGTTATTAAGTGTATATGTCTGTCGTTAAGCCTGTAAGTTGGTAATTATAGCGACCATGAGAAATTAGATGAACTTTGACTATGAATAAGTTTGTTCCGACCCAGTTAGTAACAGTAGAGTTGACACGGGTCATATTCAGGGCCGACTTGAATACGATCGAGGACTCATGCCTTTCGAGACTTTACGTCATATGGAGATAAGGACAATCATGAAATACAATGAATATTGCGTTACGATTGTAATATTTGATACGTTTTGGGTAATATCCGTGGTACAAAGTGTCAGGGACGATTAACTCATTAATTGTGTGTGCATGTTGTGTAAGCCTAGTATGCTATTGTGTACAATCAGATATGGTTTGTAAAATGACTGAAATTGTCTCTCGCGCAATTTTTTAAACAACCAAAATTGTAGTCATTATTATATATTAGAACTCAACCTAAGGGATCGTTTATATTTTGTGCTTATTTTTAAATATTTTTATGTACAAAATTGCTGACCCCTCAAGTGCATGTGTACAATATCAATGCACAACCCCACCCCCTGAAGATGGGTGACCCCCAAAAATCATATCTCTCTCTCTCTCTCTCACTCTCTCTCACTCTCTCTCACACACACACACACACACACACACACACACACAACAACACACACACACACACACACACATCCTGCCATAAGTTATATACAGTACCATCATGGAACCTGATCACCAGCACTTCAAAGTGAGTGATGTAATCCACTTGCCACTTACAACTGGTAGTCTAGATCACAATTTGTGTCGCCCTCAGAAAATATAAAACTGACAAAGCCACTCAGTCTAAAAATATTAGAATAAGGTACCAAGCAGAGAAATTGTAATCCCAATTATATGAAATATGTTGCTTTTCAGTCTGTCAGGTTAGTCGACAGATTTTTCAATTAATTTGTAAAATATTGCCAGAGTGAATCACACTGTACACAGTGACTGTAACAGCTAGTGAAATAGTTTCACTGTTTGATGTGCGTACCTGCTCCTTTTGATTACGGCAACACAATGGACCCTAAATATAGATATTTCAAACTCCATGGTAGCATTATCTGGTAAAAATAAAAATTCATTGTGAGTCGATCTTTCAGGAGGCTCTTGTTTTGCAGTTTTACCAGTTTAATATATGTTCAACTCCCTGGGCTGTGGGTGATGGTGAAACATTGTCTAGTTGATGAAGAAACGTGAATGTTTTGTGTTCAGCTTGTTCATTAATTGTTGGTGTTAGCTTTCTAGTGTGTGACAACAAGCCACTACATATAGGACATTAAGACCCTGATGCGGTTAGCCTCTTCAGAAAAAGTGGTTCATGGCTCACATCCCGTGCTGGAACATTTTATGGCCTCTAGATAGCAATATATTACACTAGTAGTGTCAAAGGATTACGTCCAGGTGTGTGCAGATTATGTCCATGAAAGGTGTGAATAGATTATGTCCACAAAAGGTGTGAATAGATTATGTGTCACAGGTATCAATGGATTTCATAATTGAATGGTAATGATGGATTGTGTCCACGAAAGGTATTGATGGATTGTGTCCACGAAAGGTATTGATGGAGTACGTCCATGAAAGGTGTTGATGGATTCAACCACGAAAGTTATTGATGGATTCAACCACATGAAAGGTATTGATGGATTTGTGTCAATGAAAGGTATTGATGGATTTCAACCACAAAAGGTATTGATGGATTGTGTCCATGAAAGGTATTGATGGATTGTGTCCACGAAAGGTGTTGATGGATTGTGTCCATGAAAGGTGTTGATGGATTCATTCAACCAGAAGGTATTGATGGATTGTGTCCATGAAAGGTATTGATGGATTCAACCACAAAAGGTGTTGATGGATTGTGTCCATGAAAGGTATTGATGGATTCAACCACAAAAGGTGTTGATGGATTGTGTCCATGAAAGGTATTGATGGATTGTGTCCAGAAGGTATTGATGGATTGTGTCCAATGGAAGGTATTGATGGATTGTGTCCACGGTAATGGAGTGTCAACCGAAGGTTTGATGGATTCAAAGGTATTGATGGATTATGTTCCACGAAAGGTATTGATGGATTACGGATTGTGTCATGAAAGGTGTTGATGGATTCAACCACAAAAGGTGTTGATGGATTGTGTCCATGAAAGGTTGATTGAAGGTGTTGATTTACTTCCACGGAAGGTGTTGATGGATTACTTCCACGGAAGGTGTTGATGGATTACTTCCATGAAAGGTATTGATGGATTCAACCACAGAAAGTTATTGATGGATTACTTCCACATGAAGGTATTGATGGATTCAACCACAAAAGGTGTTGATGGATTGTGTCCATGAAAGGTGCACAACAAGAAGAGTTCTATGGATATACAACTTCTTTAATATGATATGAGTGACGATTCGGTGTAGCTACGGTTGCTTATCAAACAACGGTGTTAGTAGCTACACCGAAACGTCGCTCATTTATATATTAAAGATTGGAACTCTCCTCGTTGTTCATCACACCAACTTCTAAATGTCACTCAAACAAGGAAATGTATTGATTGATTCAACCTCAAAAGGTGTTGATGGATTGTGTCCATGAAAGGTATTGATGGATTCAACCACAAAGGGTATTGATGGATTCATGTCCACAAAAGGTATTGATGGATTATGTCCATGAAAGGTATTGATGGATTCAACCACAAAAGGTATTGATGGATTCAACCACAAAAGGTATTGATGGATTGTGTCCATGAAAGGTATTGATGGATTCAACCACAAAAGGTGTTGATGGATTGTGTCCATGAAAGGTATTGATGGATTCAACCACAAAAGGTGTTGATGGATTCAACCACTAAAGATTGATGGATTGAAAGGTGTTGATGGATTGTGTCCATGAAAGGTATTGATGGATTCAACCACAAAAGGTGTTGATGGATTGTGTCCATGAAAGGTATTGATGGATTGTGACCATGAAAGGTATTGATGGATTCAACCACAAAAGGTGTTGATGGATTGTGTCCATGAAAGGTATTGATGGATTCAACCACAAAAGGTGTTGATGGATTGTGTCCATGAAAGGTATTGATGGATTCAACCACAAAATTTATTGATGGATTATGTCCATTAAATTATATTCATAGATTACATCCATGAAAGGTATTGATTGATGGATTCCACCAAAGGTATTGATGGATTACATCCACAAAAATTGATGGATTACGTCCATGAAAGGTATTGATGGATTCAACCACAAAAGGTTGATGGATTATGTCCACAAATGATATTCATGGATTACATCCATGATGGATTGATTGAACCACAATTACGTCCATGAAAGGTATTGATGGATTCAACCACAAAACCTGTTGAAGAATATCGTGTCCATGAAAGGTATTGATGGATTCAAATGGTATTAATGGATTACATCCACAAAACCTGTTGATTGATGGATTATGTCCATGAAAGGTATTGATGGATTCGTCCACAAAATGTATTGATGGATTATGTCCTCGAAAGGTATTGATGGATTACGTCCACAAAATCTGTTGAAGGATAGCATCCTTGAAAAGTGTTAATGGGTTATGTCTTTGAAAATATGAAGGGATTATGTCCATGAAAGGTATGGATGGATTATCTCAAATCAATGTGTGTGATGGATTATCTCCTGTCAATATGTAAGTGGATTACCTCTAGGCAAGGTTTGATTAGGTATATATAGATTACATTCCAGTTAGGTATATATGGATTACCTTCCAGTTAGGTATATATGGATTACCTCCCAGTTTGGTATACAGTCAGGCCTCGTATATCCGAACTTCAGATATCCGAATACCTCCGTTTCCGAACATTCTTCACAAAGAACGCAATTTTCTAGTTACAATTTACCTCGTATATCCGAATGTTCGGTTTCCGTATCCGAACAGCCAATTTTGGTAACGAAACAGCAAAACATGTACAAATTTGCCTCGTATATCCGAACACCAAGGCCGTCGTCGGCAAGAAATCTGATGTTTACCGCTCCTCAACAGTGCTATCATGTCTACTGCTTGTCAAAACATTGTGCTGGCTGCTAGTTAATTCATTGTTTATTGAATATTTATCACAGGGCGTGTAGGTTAATTAGAGATGAAACAATTCAAGTTTGACATTGAGTTGACACTGATTCGAATCGTTGATTGAGTAAGCGTAAATAAAGACGGAGGTGTATGCAAGATATAGAAACAACACAAAGGCGTGGATGACAGCAGAGCTGTTTCGTGATTGGCTGCGATTGTCTTTTGATCGACAGATGAGGTCACGTGTAAGGCGGGTCATTTTTCTTGTTGACAGTGCGGCTTGTCACAACTGTAAAAATCTGAAACTGTCCAGCGTGACTGTCCATTTCCTGCCACCCAACACAACCACACACATTCAGCCAATGGATGCAATGGATTTGAAAATGTCGGCGACCTCACAAACCTGGAGCTGTTGTTAAAAATCCAAGCAGCGAATAACAACTCTGTCCGTCAACAGTCATCAATCTAAGACTTTTTCAAGCCGATGTAATTTATGTTATGTTATGCAAGATGTTATGTTATGTAAAGATGTAGTTATGTTTCAATGTTATTTTTAGTTGTTTTGTTTTCATGTGTAGCCAACCTATATGGATTACCTCCCAGTTATGGTATATATGGATTACCTCCCAGTTAGGTATATATGGATTACCTCCCAGTTAGGTATATATGGATTACCTCCCAGTTAGGTATATATGGATTACCTTCCAGTTTGGTATATATGGATTACCTTCCAGTTAGGTATATATGGATTACCTTCCAGTTAGGTATATATGGATTACCTTTAGGTATATATGGATTACCTTCCAGTTTGGTATATATGGATTACCTTCCAGTTTGGTATATATGGATTACCTCCCAGTTTGGTATATATGGATTACCTCCCAGTTTGGTATATATGGATTACCTCCCAGTTAGGTATATATG